ATTAACTCAATACAGTTTTATCTTTTAGATTTAGTCAGAATTTTTTTTTTGTGCGCTGATACTGATTTTAGTGTGTTTTAACAATTGAATTGTGTATTTTTATCGGTTTAATATTAATTTGAGAAACAATTAAAAATAGAAAAAAACTTTTTTTGGTGTGTCATTTTAAATAAAAAAAATGTTTTTTATTATATTATCTTCTGAACAACACTTAAAAAATTTACGTGTTCCGACTTGCATACAAATTCAACTTAAGTACAAACCTAAAGTCCCTATCATGTATGTAAACCGGGAACCGCCTGTATATCTTTTCTCCTTTTTTTTATTTACTGTCGGGGTCTAAACAGACTCTAATATTTCCCTTTCAAATTAGAAAGAGAGAATGAGGATCCAGTGTGCGGAGAACTCGGCCTCCTGTGACAGCTGTCTCTTCCCTGTGCCGCCCTGCTTGGTGCTGGTCTGTGTCCCCTCCGATGCCTCTGCTGACACAGGCGGGGGAGAGTAGCAGGGATCAGAGAGGACACAGACATATGCTCTTGGGCCGGATTACATGAAGCAGGGCAGAGTCTAGTCCACCAGTGTTCCTGGGACTATGTTTTTGGCTTTCTTAAAGTCCAACTCCTGCTAAAACCTTTTACGTGTTTGATGGAGAAAGGGGGGTTAGAACCTCTGTCAACTCTATTACTGTCTGTTCCCATTTAGGAGATTACACCTCATTTAGGAACAGCAATTTTACAGGAAATATCCCCAAATATAGCAGTTTATCAGGTGAACCACTTCTGTTATTACTTGGGCCTGACAATCCTTTTTTTGTTGGGTTTTTGTATGAAGCATTGTTTTTCACTTTGTTTTTCTTCCACTAACCCTGTTTAAGGTAAGAAGGGTGCAGAGATCAGAACAGTTATTGGTTTTGATTGCTTATGATTGTATTTAGGGACTACATGGATTTACTTTTGCTATTGAATTTGTGTCGCTATTTTTTAGATGCTGTATATGATTTCATTGGTATAGCTTGTCCCTACGGTTAGCACTTCCTTTATGTTTTAGTACTATGGGCCTTATTTCATTGTTGTTGGTGGGTGGGAACAGAGAATCTATAAATGGCAGGTCTTGCATGGAGGTACCTGAGAGATCTAAAGAAATAAGTAGGTTACTGAGCCTACCAGGTTCCACATAAAACAGGAATATCCCACTCGTGGTAAATCAACTAGCCCTTCGAGCAGGGCTGGACAAATCTGAGAAGCCAGGAAGTCAATGCTCCTTAACAATTACAGCTGGCGCCTAACTTTACAGGGTTTTCTCTAGTTATCAATGAATCTGGCTCCTGGAGTGGACAGACTGGCTCTTGAATTGCAAGTTAATTTGTCCTGCCTTAGAGGATTCTGTAAAGGGAGATAGGCATACACAGGAAAGTTAGGATGGAGCAGATCTCTACAGTGAAAGCACAGAAAGCAATACAAATCTGACAGAAGATCCAACACCAGCTCAATGCTGTCCAAAAAAAGCTCAGCAAGTGGCTCTCCTCGTCGCATTCAGCTCTCATACTACAAATATATGTATTCCATTTAATACAAGTTAGCTGTAATAATCCAGAATGCTTGATGGATGTATTTATGTTCTATAATGACCATTTACAGCAGGACTTGAGCATTCTTTTTTTTCAGCCCATGGTCAAAGAGGAAAATGTGTAAGGAAGTGGTTGTGTATTACTACGGTTGACCCTGGTAAAATCTAGGAGTGTATTTGTAAAACGTTTGCAGAGCTGGTCACTCTGTGAACTCCTGTGTTGTAGATTTGCACCTCATTATGGCAACAAGATGGAGCCGAGGAGCATAGGAAATGTCAATGCTTTTTGGCTCCATCTAGTGGCCATAATTTGGTACAACACAGCCTGAAGATCTCCGTGAGTGTTTTAATACACATCCAAATGTATAATGATGTAAAAAAGTTGGAAGAAGGCTAAAAACAGACCCTTTTATTATAAAGCTTTATGTTCTAATGACAGAATGTAGTTGGTACACAATTTCTTAACCATTTTTTCCCCCCCCCCCCCAGTGTGTTCAATGGGTAGATGATGCAAAGCTCAACCAGCTACGGAGAGAAGGAATTCGTTATGCTAGGATTCAGTTATATGATGATGACATCTATTTTATTCCAAGAAATGTCGTGCATCAATTCAAGACCGTCTCAGCGGTGTGCAGTCTGGCCTGGCATATCCGGCTGAAAATGTACCATGCAGGAGTGGCACAGAACAGTAAATTGGAAGAAACTATTTCAGAAACAGAGGTGAAACCTAACATTAGGAAAGAAGAGCATACATTATGTGCTGTAAGCGCACACACCTCTCATGTGCATTTTTCAGACATCAGGCAGTTGAAGGACCTTGAGCAAAAACCTCAGCAAGTAAAACACGAACCCGTGTCTCCCCACCAGACTGGCGATACGTTTGGCAATATCAATCTTCCAACTATTTCCATGACTTCTGCAGAATGTCAGACTTGTTTAATAAAACCTGAACATGCCAAGGAATCGCAAGGCAAGATTGAGAGTGGGACTTTGGGAATCATTAAGCAAGACTCAAGAGACAGCAAAGAGGACACTCCACAACCTGTAACAACAAACCCAGTTGTGCGGACAGAAGAGGAACATCTGTGCTAAACTATGTACATATAATTTGTTTTTTTTATTCTACATAACGTAATAATAATGTAAAGCTTTGTAAATCATGGGGCAGGCTTCCACTTGCCCTGTAGTCTGTTACTGAATCTAGTTATGTAGCGATGTAACATTCCTCAGTGCCTGTCCGTAACTGTGAAATATCAAAGCACTTAGGGCCAGATGCACTGTAAACACTGCAGGTTTAACATAAAGTCTCTCTAAAGTTTTCAGTTTTGGTTCTAGGATAGAGCTGACATTAACATATATATTTTTTGTAAGATGAGCCAGAATTCTTTTTGACAATTCCAGGCTTTTCCATAGAGCTTATTTATATCGATTTTTCATTTTAAAGGTGTCAGCACTGTAGTGTAAATAGCTTTTTTTAAATCTTTTTAGTGTGATTTATACTGAAATGTGAACCACCTAATAAAGGTTCATAACAATGCATTTGGTTTCATTTGTGGGCAAAATCCTGGTATGTTTTGAAGGAAACCATTGTGGATTTCTACATTGTACAGGTCCAGCTCTTCCATAATATTGGCTGTAAAAGCCATAGTAGCCATGTTCCATTGTATAATGTTATTGGGCACAGCAAGCAAGCTCCAGCAACACAGCTGCATGCTCACTTATCTATTATGCACGACACTGACAGTTGAGGATTATAGAATGCTGAATCAACAAAAGAAGCTTTTCCCCACTCCTTTAAAAACATTTCTTGGCAAATTTGGACATTGTTTTATTAGATTTTGCGGTCTATGGCTCCCTGTGGAGCATTTCTAGTACTTATCAGTTCTTCCATTTTTAAAAGATGATGGGTTCATGCAGTCTGGGAATTTAGATGATTCCTATCTCTTCAGCTTGACATATTGAAAGCTTAGATTGTGCAACGCAAATAGCTTTTGATGCTACATTTATTCATGCATGAGGTCAGCATAGCCAAACACAGACAGGGGTGCATTTATTAGTAACCTGCACCTTAACCTGTAAGAAATCCCAAAAGACTGACTTTACCTTTTGTTTATCCTTTTTAATAAACGCCGGCAGGATACTGAAGCTGAGCACTCTTCTGTCAAAAATGAGGCAAGATATAACGTGCAAAAACATAGAAAGTATGAGAACTTTGTACACATTTCCTAATGTTTTCTAATGAGGCTTTTATTTGCCTCTCTTTAAGGAAATTATATAAAGTGATGCAGACATTTTTATTTAATGATTATCTATATTCTTCTACAGATAATGATGAATTATTTGTATCAGTATCTGCCCAACAGTCTTACCATGTTTTGTGAATAGTTGTCAACTATTCTTATCAATTAGTTGGTTGGATCCCCTAGCTCTCTCTTCCACGCTGGGAGGAGGGCACAGCAAGCAGTGGGCGGGTGCAGTAGCCAGCCTGCTTTTGGCGATTGCAGTTTGAAATGGCCAATAGCAGGCTGGCTATTGCACCATCCCACTACATGCTGTATTTACATTCAGCTGCTGTCTGCGGAATCTTGCCACTGGCAGCCGTCATTCCCTGGCTGAAGCTATTCAAGCGCCATGTACTTACAATACAATAAAAAAAAAAGGGGGAAAAGTCATTTTCTTTTTCGGCCTGATCAATTCTGCTGCAGGAGGTGCATTGCAGTGCCATTCATTTCAATGGCACCCCAAATGCGCGTCTCTCCCACAGTGTGATTGCCTGCACTGGAAAGCACGGCAAGGTGCTGTGTGTTCCAGAGTAGTGCGATTGCAACAAATTTGTGCATGCAGTTTTATTCTGAAGTAAACTTTGTAACACTGCATTTGTGTATTTTACTTTAAATTAAGGATAGTATTTATTGAATTTTTTTATCAGATTAATTAAAAAAATCAGCCAACTAATTGATTATGAAAATAATTATTAGTTGCAGCCCTAATATAAATTTTAGATATAATATATAATTATTATTTTTTTTTATTTGATTCCAATAGCCTCCATTATAAAAAATAGAAGGTTACTCACTGCAGCGCAATCAAACTTGCACAGTGCTGTCATCATTCACATGCCAGACTGTTGCAGTGCATTTCACATGAATGCATTATGTTTCATGGTGCATTAAGGCAGTCCATTCATTTCAGGGGCCTTCCAGTGCACCACAATGGACCAAAAATGGTACCTGAACAATTTTTGGGAACTCTGCACTGCAATAGTGCATTCTGGTGCACTGCAACACGGGTGCGATTGAAAATAAATGGCACAGGCACAGGCACAAACTAATGTGTGCAATGTGCATGACCTGCAGTATATAGATGTGAATAGGCACCGGTTGCTGGAGGGAAGAGGACTTGAAGGAATGGGTAGTAAATGAGAGAACATCACCAAAATGATGTTCATTGTCCAGTGGCTATGCTGAGGGTGAATGATATGGGCAGCTACACTGCAGTTGTAACTAGTGTTATATCACATTTGTATTATAATGGATGGCTGGGGTGCATGTATCACAAGACTGGCCTAATTGAATTACAAGTATATTGCCAGGTAAAACAGCTGTCCTAAATGTATTTCAGCTGTGTATTCGAGTGTCTGGGTGGAGTTTAGGGTCTCACAGTACTAAAGCCAGACAACTGTTCTCAGGATATAAATGGCAGAGCACTCTGAAGCAATTGCTTTAAGACCTAGGTTTTGGATTCTGGCTGCCATCAAAGGGAATGCATGTAAACTTAAAAGCATTGAAATACGATTTTGTGCCCTTTTGTAGGTCCTGAATAACCCCAGCATGGCAAAAAAATAAAACTGGTCATGAGAGAGAAACCGAGATTGCCATTACTGACCTCTTTCTGAAAATGTGCTCACACTGTGAATTCAATCATTTGTTCGCAATCCCCAAACATAATTACAGTTTAGGAATGTAAGGAGTCCTTACCTCCTAGCTTGCTATGGACCAGTGACTAAGTCATGAAACCAGTGGATTTCAAGGACCTGCCAGGCAACTATAATCATTTAAAGGAACAGTCTTTGTTTTCCTTTGAGTGGTTTTGTTTAAAATATAAAGCGCTATATATGAAACGAACACTGGAAAGCAAGTTCTGGACTTTAGTGACATTTTGCACCGTGCCTGATAAGTAAAGCGTCTGGTTCTCCAGAGAATGAATGAGACAAATCTGTTTTACATTCTATACTTTTGATCATCCCATAAAGGTTCAATGATGTTTACAGTTGATTGAGGAAGCCATGGAAGGACTTTTCACTTCCTCCTGTTGCATATGCACTCAGTCTTGCATTTAGCAGCATTCATAGGGTTATTATAATGAAATGTGGGTCAATAAGGAGACTATTGTAGACCGGGTCCCACAAAATCTTCTCATAAGCCTGTACACCCAAAGCTGACACCCTAAGTTGTCTGCCTTTTATCATTGGGTATGTTTACCACAGGTTTGAAAACCGTTGACCACTCTTTAATAAATTTGACAGCCTTCTTCGGTTTTCTGTGGACCTCTGGTCATCTTTTTGATGAATGACTGTTCCTGCAGAGTGCATTGGATGTCTTTTGTAGATCTGCATATCTGTGAACATTGCCTGCTGATATTGGGAACTGCACATACATGCAGTGTGCCCTGAATGAATTGCTATTCCTACTAGAAATTAGGCTCAACCAATGCAGACTGTCATATTTAGCAGAAGATTGTAATTCTAAAGATTTTTGATCCTTAGGATGGCAGTAGATGGATTTTTTTGGAGATTTAACAAATATTCTTTAAGGGCCCATTCAGAATTGGCTTCCTGTGGCATTGTGCTTATGCAGGTTTTTTAATGTGTTAATATTTGTTTCATTAAGGCAGCACATTCAAATGCTTTGGATGACAATATACTGGAATGTCCAAAAAAGGGACGTGCGCTAGTTTTGGCAATGTAGTCCACCATAGTGCATTACCTTGTGTTGTTTTGTGCTGCAAAGCATGTGTGTTGGAGCGCACTCCCTTAGTGTGCTGTAGTGTCATTTAAAATGAATGGCATTGCAATGCTAACGCAGCAAACTGGAAGGGTGTCAATGGCCCCTAAATATACAAAATATTCACTGAACACAAAAGGACATTCCAGCAGTTTAGGTACAACAATCACGGATTTAAAATAGGAGATATCAATCAAAAACTATTCTGTGCAGACAATCATTTTAGAGAAGTATTATCAGTACAAACGATCATTTAGCACACTGGACAATTACAGCATGAAAGATAATCATTCATGTTTAAAGCACAAGGGATCAGAGAAGATGACTGATTACCGTAAAGTTGTACAAGTCACATAAAACAATAGTTCAATGTATTTCTGTTTACTTTAGATCATTAATAAAGAGTATTTGTCAAATCTGCAAGACTTGACACCAAACATTGCCACGCCTATAGCCATACTTAGACATTGTGGATGGAAGTCGGCTTTGGCTTTCTCCAAACAAACTCCTCCAAAAGTAGAAACTGGGGTACAAGATTACTCCACAGACCATATTTTTGTGTTGTGTGTTCTTGGATCGATCCAGCAACTGTTTGGGCTCGTTGCAGCTCTTGTATTTATAGATGACAAAGACCTCTAAGTGGCAGTCTGATTCAATATGTTTGTAATTGTGATTTTCTTACTTTAGTAAACTTTTTTCATGTATTCTTTCCATTATTTGACTTTATCCACCCCCTTATACCTTTCAGATACCTCCCAAGTAAAGGCTTGGGATGAGCTCAGGTTTGGACCGAACCAGAGCTCATCCCACCCTAGAAAGAGCCTGTCAGTTGTGGGCTAATCTGCGGCATCCCGAGGAATTGTCTGTCCCGCGGCTGCTTGTAAACAAAGGGGTGGGATGCGGGTGACATCATTGACCTTTTATAGCCATATTTAGTCAACAACATTGACCTAATGTGGCCACATAAGGTCAATGATGTCATCCCCATTATGACCCTTTGTTTCTGTGCAGCTGTGGGGCAGGGAGTGCTCTGACTGTAGCTAATTAGGCTTGTTCTGACTGCTTCTTTCCGTGTTCAGATGAGCTTGGCTTGGTCCGAACCCGAGCTCATCCCTAGTAAAGGCAGTGGGCAGGGTCGTGACAAGTGTACTGTGCCAGCTTTATAGCCACTACGTATGTGCCACTAATAATGTGTTTCACCTCAGGCTGTAATATTGTGCATCTTCCAGTGCTGCAGTACATGCAGATTATATTAGCCATAGTGCTCCTAATTGAAGGAAATGCACGCTCCATGCATTCTTATGAATTGATGATATGTAAATATGTTAATTGACAATTTGGCTTAAAGGAGAACTATGAGGTTAGTGATTTTCACTCATCCTCATAGTTCTAGCCGACCTGTGACAATGAAACTGTCAAAGGTCGGCTCAGTAGATCGGGAAGAACGCATACCGGCGCTCGCTCACCTCGATCCTGTCACTGCAGAGAGCCGTGACGGGAGGGACTGGATTCCCCGCTCCGATCCTCCAG